CTTCTTTTATGCCAGTAGGCACGGGGATCCTCCTCGTACCGATCAGAGTCGCTCTCTTCCAGTTGCCAACGCTCAAACTCGTCAAGGTCGACTGGCGCTGGAGATGGGAGGGTGAAGAAGAGACAGACGCTGAGCTTGCTCGACTTCGCTCCTGGCTTCTGAAGGCGGCGAACCTATTGCCGGAAAGGCGAGGGATTTTGGTAGGCGGTTCTGAAGCCTCTTTTTGCTCCGTCAACAGGTAGCCAGGAAATCGCCTGAAGAGAAAGGCTTGATCTTCTTCAGTGCGCCCAGGAACGGGGGCGACGGTTGCAGGTGCTTCTGTAGCCATTATGGTGGGGGGTAGGCCAGAACACCAACCTCACCAGCCAGTAGGGCGGTGGGAGTTCTGCCGACCATCTCACCGCTTCGTTGTCAGGAGGATATTAGCAAGTTAGTGTTTACCATACAAATATACTCTTAATCACTATCATCTGCTAAAAAGGGCCCACTATTGCAATAATGGATCCGCGTTGCAGAGGTCATGTTGAAATTGCATGGATTTTCGGAAGATGGTTGAGTTGTGTGGTACACATTTCTCCCTTTCTTATGCTGTATGACTCCGGCCCTTCGTGATAAATCTCCGTGGTCAGTCGAGATCTGCCTCATGCTTTCGTCCCGCCTGATTGCCAGGCCCTCTTTCCCACCCCACGATATGGCCTGGGTCGACTAGGGACGTGTCTCCCACAATCAGAACGTGTCACAGGCATTGCCTGTTCCAGGGTTAGGTTGCGTTCCTGTAGATTAGACAAGGAGAGCTGGCAAGCCCCATTTCTGGGCTTGCCAGTGGTCAGCACTGTACGCACCACCCTGTTGGTCAGTGCGCAGATCCTCCTGCAGGGTTTCCTTGGGGGCTGCACCCTGCCCACAGTTTGGTTCCTCGTGCAACCACACCAGTACTCAAGCTCAGTTCCTATGCCCCGTCACAAGACGAGCAGTACAGTGCCTGCTTGACTCTCCGTAAAGTATTCAAAGGCCGTGTCGAATGCCTGTTCCTAGGAAGTGCTGCATTCTATGCGGCGCCCTGATTCAGTGCGGATGGGGTTTCGTCACCGGTATGTAACCATCCATCCCTATCATGGTGCGAGGGATACATAGATAGAACCAAGGCTCAAGGGACATAGCCGTCTGCTTCAAGCAGTGCTTTGATACTAACGTCGCCCTGCCCTAGTCTACGCTCTCATAAGCCATGACCTGAGAATACCGGGCCTAGAAGCCCGGCTCTCTGTCCGCGGGTTCAGGTTCCGGCTCGCCGACGTCGCCCACGTCAGCATCCCAAGGGGGCCGCATGGCGGCCCGACGGAGTCTGAGATGGGTATCGATCTGATGCCGTCCGGTATTACAAGTCACCCGATTCGGCCAGGTGAAACTCCTGATATCCGGGGTTTTCCATTCCACCCGGCGTGCTGGTACGTCCTGACCAAACGCTTGTCGCCGGGTGACCGGGAGGTGCAGCTACTTTTCGACCTCTGCCTCTCCTTCAGGAATAACGAGATCATGTTGGACTGGGGCCACGACTACGGTGGGACTGTCGGCTATGACTACGACTCCCGCGTTCTGGGCCCCGGCGAGGAACCCCGTCTCTCATCATTGGCTGTCGATTCCCGCGATGACGGCGGCCCTGACCCTCTTCACATCCCCGAACTACGTCGCGCTTTTGAGCGGCGGACAACCGATAGCATTTCTGCCACTGATCTCCCCGCGCCGCGACAGGGATACGCTAGGCCGGCCGACCGGGATGCTTTCCAAGCGCTGCCCGTCGAGATTCTGCAGTCGACTCTCATCTATCTCTCGACGCCCGATGTAGCGGCTGTGAGAATAGCTTCTCCGGCTTTTGCTAACGTCCATCTACACGATAAATTTTGGAGATCTCGCTTTTTCCCAGGGCAAGAGTTCGAATCCGTTTTCGAAGCCCAGCCGCATCTCCACGACTCTTCGTTCAAGGGTCAGTGGAAGTCGACATATTTTGCTGTCCGAGAATTGCGGCGTTCTCCAGAGCTCCTCAATAGAAGACGTGTTTGGGACCTGGCTTCCTCTCTTCTGGATCTACTGTTCAAGGCCGAAAGCGCCAGCTGTGATGGCAGCCCCGTGCCCTTCTCCCTCGACGACGACGACGACGACGACGACAACTCCTCCTTGTCCAGTGTTGATATGGGCTGGAAAACAGCCAGCAGGGCAAATCCGATCTCAAAGAGGTGCTTTGTGCCCGGTAAAAGTTCACTATACAAACGAATGATGCCTATACCTGACGACGCCACGGCTCTCTTTGTTTCTACCGTCGAAATCCAGGGTCGACAATATATTTCTGGGATCCGAATCCAACATGGGACCGATGCCTCCGTGAGCCTGGGATACCATCGTCCTGGCAATGAGACGCCGGTGGTCTCCCGCGAGCAGGGATCGCTTCGCATCGAGGGCTTCAACCTCGCCCACGATCAACGTGGAATCCGCGGCTTGTCTGTCATATCAGAGACGAGGATTTCCTCGGACTGGGTTGGAGATTTTCATGGTATTCCAAAGAGAAGACTTGTCCTACGAGAGCATGATGTTGTCAAACATCTGAAAGGGGGTTTCGACGTCAGTCTGTCCCTAGCGGCTACCTTACTTTCCTTGCTGATTTGCCGACCTAACCTTTTAGCTCTAACTCCAGGCACTTAGGCTACGTTCTTTATCCATCTCAAATGGACGGCCGAGTAATACGGATGCTGCCGGGCCCAAGAAGTTCGACCACACAACGCTCTGGCACCCTGACTTTCCCGGGCCGCACCTTACATTCCTAGGAGCCAAGCGTATCCTGAACCCACATCCTGGCGAGGATCTGCCCTTGTCGACCATGATATTCGGCGGTGTTAAAGGAGAAGAATTGCAGCACGTTCTTGGTATCACAGTCTGGGTGGACGAGCGCAATGATCCAATCCCGACCGTACTTGCCATCGACATCTCTCGTGTAGCAGGCCCGAGTCCCCACCGCTTCGGCTATACGGACTTGGCCTTGTCGACCGTGTCGTATAGTCCGATACAGAAGTTCGAGTTCCCAATAGACGGCCCTAGCGGTGAGCGTATCGTCAAGATGGAATCATGCTATGGGGATGGCGGTGACTGGTTTGCAGGCTTCCAGGTAATTCAACCCTCATTTTTTCTTCTATCTCTACCAATATTAGTAGAAATGCAGAGGCAAGCTTAGTACTAATATTTTATATCTAGGTACTTACTAACTATAGACGGGCAGCTGTCCTCCCTCCTACAATAGAAAAACGTTGGTCCCTTGGCAAATGGAGAACCAAACCCCTTCGCTTCAGTCGTGGTGCGTTTGTTGGCTTTTGGGGGATGTGGGTGAGTAACAGGATTGCAAGCTTACACTACGGTGAGGTGAGACACTGCTCACGCCATATTATCGATGCCAGACATACAACAGGGGCTTTAGCGACTTTGGCGCCATTTGCATAGACTCATCAGCGGAGGCCGACTCGGCAAGGAGGACGGAAAGCTATGATATAGGCGAGAATAGGGAGGGTTCGGTGATAGACGCAACCCCAAGTCTCGCATCGGCGTAGAGTTTAGATCCTCCGGAATGGAAGACTTGGTAGGCTACATGCTGTGTCCAACCAGGACAGTGTCCGCATTGTGGTGGATACAGGTTGGCCGCGGCGACGTGGCATTTGGAAAGCTTAAGAACAGGCTCGTCTCCTTCCTGTTAACTGTCAAAAACCTCTGCCTTGCTTTGGCCCTACCTGCCGCAAGACTCGTTAGTATGGGGCGCTTTGGACGCGCCACCACGAACCCTAACCCGCGTTGGCCGACAGGTGCCGAAGCGATTTCCCGGTCGTGCGGATAATCGCTTCGGCCCAAGACAGCCGTCAAAACGCAGAACAGCGGTCGCGCCGATATCAACCGAGAGCGCTGATTCCACCGCGACCGGCCGCCGGCCGCGCAGCCGCGTGTTCACCCGCTGCAGCGAGAGAACGATACGGGGACGGGGAGAGGCAGAATTGGATGGTTAGGGTGAGGGTTTCGATTGTGAACCGGGAATTGGGGCGGCCGGGGGCCAGTGGGGGCCACAAGAAAGACAGGGGGTCCGCAAGAGAAGGAAGCAATCAGTCGTAATTTCAAAAGATGAGAGTTTGTTTTACGAGGTGATGGGTTAGGTTAGGTAAGCCGCAGTAGAAGTACCAGCAAGGTAGGAGCGATCAGCCGGATATTGATCTAATATAAGAAGATAAAAAAGTATACGAGAGCGAGCGAGCGGTGAACCATGGTAACGCTCAGCGAGATATTCACACCATTGCCCGCGTTCCGTACGGCGGTTTGCCACGAGCATGGAAGCGAGTTTACGGGCGGTCGACGGCCGAGTCGTTGTTCAGCACCGAGGCCCGGCGAATCGGGTTCCAGCGGGTTAGCCGCGAGTGGCACGCGTTTTGCATGTTCGATTCCGTCGTGCGGGAGAGGGAAGGTGGCAGCGGCGAGGCGAGACCGTCCCGATTAGCCGACGTTACGCGGCAGGCGGCAGCGGAGGAGGACCGGCGGTGGAAGAAGATGCGGCAGGTGGATATTGGAGCGGAGTTGGGGCGGATGTTGGGGCCAGAGGCGCGGTTCCGTGGGGTACAGGAGGCCGCGTTGCAGGCGATCATGTGACAGGAGAGCCCGGTGGTGGTGGTGATGGGCACGGGCGGCGGGAAGAGCATGTTGTTCATGTTGCCGGCGGCGTGCGCGGCGGCGGCGGGTGGGTTGACGGTCGTGGTGGTGCCGTTGGTGTCGTTGCGCGGCGACATCAAGGACCGGTGCGACGCGATGGGCATCGAGTGCGTGGAGTGGAGCGGACGAAGGCCGCACGAGTGGGCGTCGATCGTGTTGGTGACGCCCGAGGCGGCCGTGTCGGAGAGTTTCGGGCATTTCATCAACCGGCAGCGGGCGATGGGCCGGTTGGACCGGATCGTGGTGGACGAGTGCCATGTGGTATTGGATTCGGGGGCCGGGGGCGGGTGGCGGTCGCGGATGTTGGGATTGCGGGAGTTGGTCAAGGCAGAGACGCAGATGGTATGTTTGACGGCGGCGTTACGGCCGGCGGACGAGGCCGAGTTTGGGCGGTTGGTCGGGTTACCCGGAGCGGGTATAGGGGTAGGCGCAGGCGCAGTACGATGGTTCCGGAGCAACACCACGCGGGCGAACGTACGGTACGAAGTACGGCGGTATAACAGGGGAGAGGAGGACAAGGAGAACGTGGTTGCGGCATTGGTAGAGGAGAAGCAGGCGAAGTATAAGGAGGCCGGCGGCGGACAGATCGTGGTATATTGCGACACGGTCAAGAAGGTGGATCAATACGCGAAGCAGTTGGGAGGGTTGTGTTACCACCGGAACGTCGGCGAGGCGGAGACGAAGCAGGGGGTAGTCCGACAGTTACGCGAAGGGACAGGCCAGGTATTTACGGCGACGAATGCGTTGGGATTGGGGGTCGACGCGCCGAGGATCCGGGTAGAAGTGTACGTCGAGGTGGTGCGGCGGTTGCGGGATTACGCACAGGAAGCGCGACGGGCAGGCGAGCGAGGCGGTGATTGTGCGGGTGGTATCGGACGACCGGCGCGGGAGCCAATCGAGGAGACGGCGGAGCAGGCGGAGAGCCGCGGGGTGGAGCGGGCGATGTGGGAGTTTATCGAGACGAAGGGGTGCGTGCGGGCGGTGTTGGACCGCGAGATGGACGGGCGGGTCGACCGGGCGGGGTGCGAGGATGGGGAGGAGGCGTGTTACCGGTGCAAGGCGCGGGCGAGGGTAGGGCGAATAGGCGGGGGGGCAGGGCCGGGCGTGCAGGCCGAGCATATAGCAAGCATAGGTGAGGGAGGGCGTAGGGAAGAAGAAGAAGAAGAGGAGGAGGAGGAGCAAGAGGAGGAGGAGCAGGAGGAGGAGGAGCAGCAGGAGGAGGCCAAGGCAGGGCAAATCGGGGTAAGGAGGTGACGAGGGTAGGGGAGGGAGAGGCAGGGGAGGGAGACGAAGCGCAGGCGAGGGCACCGGAGATTGTAAGGAGGGCGACATAGAAGTAGAGGCGGAGATATATTGCGGCCGGATTCAGCGGCGGATGCGCAGTCAGGCGGAGAGGAGGCGGCAGGCGGAGAAGAGTATAGAGGTGGAGCAGTTTCAGGCAGTATTACAAGAGTGGTCGGTCGGTTGTACGTGGTGCCGGGCGATCGGGGAGGCAGAGGAGGTGTGCCGCGGGCATACATTGGATCGTTGCGAAGAGAACGCAGGCGAGATACGGAGGATGGTAGGGCAGGCCGAGCGGTTGGTCCGTTGGGAGCCGTATCGGGTTTTTTCGACAATCAGAGCTCGGTCATCTGGACTGCATACGGAACCGGACATACCGGATGTTGATATTGGTCGTTGTGTTTGATGAGGCATATGGTCGGTACAGAGTGGTCGCCTATATGACGTGAGGGCGCGGCAGATCTACGTCGCGGACCTACTGTGAAACTCTGGCTCGGCTCTGCAGTCTCGCCTTAAGTATCGTCAGTTCTATAAACTCACAGACACATGGGAATCTAACCGGCAATTTAGCAGAGATGTCCTTCGACGGACGACCACCTTATAAATCGGGTTCCAGGTCGCGAACCCAAAATCGCTGGCCAGCGCACGTCGATTGCTACTGCATATTTCCGAGGTACCTCCGCTCGATCGGTTCCAATAAGGCCTTCGGATACACGGAACTGCTGAGTTTGCTCCGTCTATGACACGCACTGTCTCAAAAGGACTGGATCAAGTTTCAACCTCCCATTTTCCATAATAGCTTAGACCTGTCGGCACTTGTTTTAATGCACAGAAGTTGAGGGACTCAGCTTTAAGCTCTTAGCTCAGCTCAGCTCAGCTCATTCAGCTAGGGCTTCAATAACCACGCTAAGGGGCATTGGCCAATAAAAGGGGCGAGGGGAGGTGTCACGGCGGGACAGGCGGACAATCCAATGACACTTGTATTCGGGCTAAGCTACAGTCTAGGCTCTATTCCGTCAGGTACAGGCAGGCTTGATTGTCAAGACGTAGCTCAAAGAGCTACGGCAGAACTCGCGGCAGCGAGGTGCAGGATCTTCAACCCGCAGGGCCCCCCACACGCTGGGCCCCACCCGTGGGTCCTGGCAGGCACGGCGCAATCGCCGTGACAGAACTTTACCAATTGCCTGCTATCTATAGCTGATGGATTGCAAGGTCAAGTCTCGCATTATCCAGTTCGCTATTTTGCTGGATGATGAAGCTTTGCTAAAGAGGGCTAAGTTAACAAATGTAACAACGATGACCCCCCTGGCTTGGCACTTCTAAGTTGGGCGAGTAGATACATTGCTAGGCATCTAGACTACCCGATAGTCCCAGTGCTGCATGAATGTTTCGTGTTTATATTCTTCTTGGTTTTAATAAGCTCCGCTGACGGTTGTCAGCTTCAAGGACATCGTTTTCTCTTGCCCTCCTTAGTTTATACGAACGCTTGAGCGCCGCTAAGGGAATATACACCTCCCCCGGGGTTTTAAAGCTTAGCGCGATACAAGCCCCACCGGCTTGCCAAAGGAGCAGCCATTACGTTATTTAGCTCGATAGAAATCTCTGCCATTCTACAAAGTCACTTCCGTAGCATTTTGTATCGTAAAGTACCTTCCAACAACGCTTGCATTTTTCCAGTCGTACTATTTAATATGGACATGCCTTACATGGATATTCGCGCTCTGATCAACCATACAAGCATCCATAACTCGCCTGCCGCGGAGCGGTTTTACCGCTTGCAGTGTCAGCGAATCCGGCATCCGCAACTCATAGAACTTGCGAGCCAAGCCACGACATCAACGCGGCGCCGCGCCCACGAACTCTCCCGAGAACAGAAAATAGAGGCGCGAGCCTTGCGCAACCATGCCAAGTGGTCCTATCAAGCGATTTCCCACGCCTTAGGAGTGACTGTGCGGCAGGTGCAACGCGCTTGCGACGGACC